GGACTTCTAAAGTCCACTTTATTACTTGTCACGACCCGTACACTTGCGGTAATTTAAATCGAAAGAAATATTTCGCGAACAAGCACAATCTTGGCATTTTCTCTGGCCAAACTTTATATAAACCAACTAATACTTGATCACGATTGCACAAACACGATCATCTTAATACCAAGTATAGAAAAAACAGAGAGAAAAGATGAAAAACTTAAGAGTAGGAGCACTTCTTTTTGTATTACTCTTTCTTGCTACTCATTTCTCAGAAGCTAGACTTCAAGCATGCAATCCAAGTGGCAAAATAATTGGAAAAAAGCCACCTCCGGGACAATGCAACCCGCAAAATGACTCTGATTGCTGTAAACAGGGGAAGTCTTACCCCACCTACAAGTGTTCACCCTCTGTGTCTGGAAGCACTAAGGCAGTTCTCACAATTAACAGTTTCGAGAAGGGTGGAGATGGAGGCGCACCATCAGAATGTGACAACAAGTACCACTCCGATAACACACCAGTCGTTGCACTGTCAACTGGATGGTACAGTGGAGGGTCAAGGTGCCTTAACAATATCACAATAAGTGCTAATGGCAGGAGTGTAACAGCTATGGTCGTCGATGAATGTGATTCTACCATGGGATGTGACGATGACCATGATTATCAGCCTCCATGTCCTAATAACATTGTTGATGCCTCCAAGGCTGTCTGGAAAGCCTTAGGAGTACCTGAAGATAACTGGGGCGAGTTGGACATTACTTGGTCTGATGCCTAGTAAAATTAATACTGTTTTCAAGTTATGATATTGTAAAATGATATGCCATGTATATATACTGAAGCATATCTAGTACATATTTACTGTCTCAATCACTGGTATGCTTCCTTTCATATAGTGATTCCTTAATGCATGAAAGACGAAAATATATCTTTGTATGATGAATTCGGGCTTGTCTTAATAACACGATAGCATAATTTTTTACAATTAAAACTTTAGATAGACATGCTCTTTGTAGGCTTGATCTCCAAGTATAGTAACACGTTGCATTCAAATCTATCTAAAAAAATTATCCTGCATCAGATTGAACTGTCCAAGAAATATCCAAGGACAAGTACAAACCTTTAGAGACACTATCTGCTTGGTTTCCATTTTATTATTATTTTATTATTTTTTTTTTCTGGAGTAGAAAAGCATATAATCATTCATTAGCGTGAATCCCTTGTCAAAGTTCGTTTACATGAGACTTACAGAATCTATTCTGATAAAATATAAAATATTGCATGATGAATATTACTTTTGTACAGTTTTTTTACATTCTGAATGAGTTAAGCGAAGACAAGC